AGGACTCAAGCCTGCTCAGAGAGCAGGCCTTGGCACTGATGGAGAAAGCTTGTGGCCCCGTGGAGCTCAGCCATTGCAGGCAAAGGAATGGCCCCAAACCATACCCCGTCTGCCATGGCCTTTCTCCGAGTTGCTACCCAGGCATCCCGCAGAGCCCTGGGAGGTTTCCTGGGAGCTGGGAAGGTCCCTCCGGAGCACGGTGGGATGTTGGGTGGCACCAGCATGTGACTGCTGCTTTCCTGGCCAAGGGCTGTGGGATTTGGCTCTGAGCAAAGCTGCAGCTCTGGGGCTGGGACCATGAATGCTGATTGTGCCCCTCGGTGCCTTGCCAGCCCTCCCAGAGCCACCGCGCTTCCTCTGCCTCCTTTGGCCCCTTCCCTTTGGCAAAGGGGATGTTTTTCCTGCCGCTCTCAATGCAGAGGAAATTGCCCCAAGCTGCTTTGTGACAATGGTGCCTTCAGCTCCTTTGGCCTTTCCGGGAAGCAGGCAGCAGCTCTGCAGAGCAGGGCAGGGCCATGGTAGCCTGGGGCAGATGAGGGGGCCTTGGGGACCCTGGGGAGGTGCTGTTTGATGCAATGGGTGCTCCTTTTCCTCTTCGAGAGCCATCCAGAATAGAGGAAGAGCCTGGGGGACAGCTCTGCCATTCCCACCCTGGCTGGGCAGGCAGGAAAGCAGAAAAGGGAGCTGGGCAGGGACAAACGGGTCAAGGGACATTTTGACCCACTGCCACTTCAGGAGTCACAGGGAGGTGGCTTTAACCCTGGGATGCAGCCACAAGCTCTGGCCTCTCTACAGCCATAGAGGAAGGGTCTTTTGGGCAGCCAGGGTTTTGCCACGAGCCTGGTAAAGCCAAGCCCCCTCCTTGTTCTGCCTCTCCCTCCCCAGGTATCATCACTGGGAGTCACCACCTTCAGCCTCTGCGCCTTGGGCATCGACAGGTTCCACGCGGCCACCAGCCCGCAGGCCAGCACCCGGCCCATTGAGCAGTGCCAGTCCATCATCGCCAAGCTGGCCGTCATCTGGGTGGGCTCCATGACGCTGTCGGTGCCGGAGATCCTGCTCTGGCAGCTGGCCCAGGACACGTCGCCCGTGTCCGGTGTGGCCATGGAATATTGCACCATGAAGCCCTCGTCCAACCTGCCCGAGTCTGTGTACTCCCTGGTGCTCACCTACCAGAACGCCCGCATGTGGTGGTACTTCGGATGCTACTTCTGCCTGCCCATCCTCTTCACCGTGAGCTGCCAGCTGGTGACCCGCAGGATCAGCACCACCGAGAAGAAGACCGAGTGCCGAGGGAGCAAGCACAGCCAGTGCGAGAGTCACTTGAACTGCACCATCATCGGGCTCACCATCATCTACGGGCTCTGCACCACCCCGGAGAACGTCTGCAACATCGTGGTGGCTTACATGTCCCCCGACATGTCCAAGCAGACCCTGGATCTGCTCAACCTCATCAACCAGTTCTTCCTCTTCTTCAAGTGCTCAGTGACGCCTGTGCTGCTCCTGTGCCTCTGCAGACCCCTGGGCCAGGCCTTCATGGACTGCTGCTGCTGCTGCTGCGAGGGCTGCAGCCCTGACACTGCCTCCAGCGAGGGCAGCGCTGACAGCAAGCTCAAAACGGAGATGTCCTCCTCCATCTTCTTCGACAAGCCCCGGGAGTCCCCCCCACCCCTCCTGGCCCTCGGCACCCCTTGCTAAGCGCCAAAGGGGGAGCTGTAGCGATCGTTTCCACCACCTCCTCCCAAGACCAAACGCCGTTTTGCCATTAGTGCCCGTGCCTGGACGTGGAACCAGCAGAAGGAGCTGCACCCCGGGCTTCAAACCCCACACTGGGGCAAGTGAGGCTTGAAAGCCCAGTCCCTATGGTTGCATTGGCGGCCTTCTTGCCTCTGCCCAAAGGCCAGCAAGGGCATCAGCACCCTCCCGTCCTGGCTGCCTGGCCAGGCTCAGAGGGGTTGGTTGTTGCTCTGGAGATGGAGTTGTGCCGGAGAGGTCCCATCTGAACCTACGGAGGGTTTCCACGGAGGCTTGCAGTGGACATAGCAAACACAAACTGCCCTCGTCCTGTCCCGTCCCCTCCTGCCAGCCCCCTCCACAGTAGGAGGTCCCAGTGACTGTATCCCACCGAGCGGTGCCCTGTAAGAGCTCAATAAACCAGTAACCTAGAGCACGCCATGCATCACCAGTCCGGCACTGCCGAGCAGAGCCCTGGGGAGCCGCTGCTTGGGGTTTGGATGGCACTTCCCTAAAACCTGGGGGCTCTGGGGTGGGCATTAGGGCAGGAAAGCGGCCATGCCAGGTCAGGCAGCACCTAAAGGAGATGGGGAAAGCCCCCTCCCCTGCCCCTCTGCCCATCCCCTGGGGTGATGCTGGTGCCAAGCCAGCCCCTGGAAGGGTCTCCTCCAAAGCACTGGGCTTTGGGGTGGTTTGCAGGGCTCAAACTGGTCCCAGTAAAGGCCAGCCCAGCACCGGGCAGAGGTGCTCTGCAGCCTCTAAGGAAGCCAGCTCCCCTCCCTGCACCACGCAGGACCAAGGTGCTGCTGCTACACGGTGCTGCCGTGCAGTACCGGAGGGCACCATCCTGCTGCACCCCTGGCGTGGGGTGAAGCATCTCGTCCGAGCAGCCCCGTGCAGGGCTCCCTGGCCCGTTGCGGGGACAAGGCTGTCCCAGACCCTTGGTTTCCAAGCTCCCGCACCCAGGAAGGGCTTCAGGGAGCAGCGCGGGCAGCGGGATAGGGCTGGGGGCAGGCGGCCCCGTCCGCTGGAGCTGTTAAAGCTCCTTGTCCTGCCGCTGGCACTCGCCCAGCCCCCGAAATGCCGGGGCGAAGGAGACGGTTGCTACGGGCGGGTGAAGGCGAGCGGCTCACTGCGGGCTTTGTGCGGCACCGACACCCACCGCGCTTCGCTTTCACAGCCCCGTTGCCAGGGAAACAAAAGCCCCAGTTTTCTTCAGAGAGCACAAAAATGGGTTCTTTCCTTCCCTCCCCCCCCCCCCCGCACCACTGCTGGGCCCCACACTTCGGGGGCAAGAAGAGGGGTCTCATGGTGGCGCGGGGATGGAGGGAGGGGAGCGGAGCCCGCGCTGCTGCCATGCCCGCATCCCCCCGCGCCCCCACGGGCTCTCGGTGGTACTGGGAGGGAAGGAGCGGGGGCATCTCCTGCGCTGGGTCCGCGCTGCTCGGTCCTGAGCCCGCGCCAAGCAGGAACAAAGCCGGGCTTGTTGCTGTGTCCCTGCGGGGATGGATGTGTGGGGAGGAGGGGGGGGGGGGGGGTGCAGGGAGGGCAGGCAGCACCGCACGGCCCCATAGCAGGCAGAGCACCCCATAGCGCGGATACCCGGGAAGGCTGCCATAGGGCACAAAGCACAACCCCGATGGTGGGGGGGTTGGTGTCAGCGCAGGGGGGATGCAGGGGGCACAGGAGAGCACTGAGCACCGGCCCTGAGAGGGAGCTGGTGTGAACAAGGGGGCACGGAGATGGGGTAGGATCCCTGCAGCAGCCCTGCTCCAACCCCAGCATCGCAGCAGGACACAAGTGGGGGCAGAGGAAGGTCCAGCAGCAGCGATGGCTGCATCCAGACACCTCCGAGCTCATCTCCGCACCCAGAGCCGTGCAGAGCCATCAGGGTTGGCAGCTCTGGGGTGACCGTGGAAATGGGGGAGCCCGATGCTGCCTGGGGGACAGGGACCCTGGCCCGATGAGGGGCAGAGGAGGGATGGGTCTCACCCTGGCGAGGAAGCAACGTGACTGCAACCACCCCCCCCAACGCAAAAGTGTTAATTTATTATCATTAGGGAGGCAAAAAAATTGTACAGTAACAAGAATCATTTCCCAACAGAGGTCAAATCTGAGCCAAAATACCTCTTAAAAACAAAAAAAAAAAAAAAAGGGGTGGGGGGTGACAACACTTTACAATTCATTAAATTAAAAAAAAAAAAAAGAGAAGGAAACCTCTCTTTGTGCAATTCTGCAAAAACAAGAAGAGAAGAGGAGCCCCCGGCCTCACCATGGCTGGGAGAAGGACCCTGCAGCCCCCCCCTTGCCCCGGGGCCACCCCCCCTCTGCCAGCGCTGCTGGGGTCGCTGCTGCCTCCCGCTGTGCTGCTGACCTGACCCACTGCCACATCACCACGTCCCCAGCCCTCTTAACCCCCCCCACAGCCTGCACCTGCAGAGGCCCAACAACAGCACCGATGGGCACAGCCTCCCTCAGCCCCACTCCGTTTCCTCTCCCCTCCCCACCTGCAGAATGGACCCACCCGTGCCCATGTCCCCCCCAGGCAGGGCAGCGCTGGCAATGGGAGCATCACCCCAGCGCCGCCGGGGGGGGGGGCTCTCCCAGCCCTGTGCGTGTCTCCATGCATCCCTCCCTCCCTCCCCCGTGTCCCTCTGCAATGTCCTTGGCCAGCAGCCCCCAGTCAGGGGCAGGAGATGTCTTGTGAGGAGACAGCAGAGCTGAGCCCCGTCCAGGGCAGCGGGGGAGGCAGGAGCCAGGGCCCTGCTCCCCATGGGGCTGCTGGCATCGCTGTTCCCCCCCCTGCACTGGCAGCATCCCCTCAGATAACACAGCAGAGCAGCAGGACCGGGCAGCAGGGCAGGATTTGGCCCAGGCACGTGTACCAGGGCTGGGGAGGGGGGAACACACAGGGCAAGGGGATGAGCAGCCCAGGGCATCGAGCAGGGGTTGGGGCAGTGGCACAGCAGGGGGAGGCTGTGGGTTGTCACTAATCCCTATGGGAGAGGAACCTGTGGCTGGCATTACCTCCCCTGCAGCCCTGCCTGGGGGGGCGTCATGCTCCCAACACCCCCAGGATGCTCTGTGCAGGGGAAGGGACAAGGGAGCCCCAGGGGACCTGCCCACAGCCTGGCACAGCCCCATCCCCAAGGGGCTGCCTTCTGCCACCCCCTTGCTCCCAGCGCTGAGCCTCAGCCGGGCTCGGGGAGCCCCCAGCCTTCCTTCTGCTCCGAGGGCCCAGTTTAGTAACAGCGCTACTGCTTAAATTAAAAACTTGAAGTATATATACATATATATATAGTGTATACCCAGACAACAACCGAAGAGGGCCAGAACGGGAGGGGGAGACAGAGAGAGGAGAGGAGAGGAGGGCAGCTGGACATTTTCTTTACAATAAAAACAAGGGCTCCACCTCAATGCGAGCGGAGTCTGGGGTCCCCTAAAAATACCCATCTAGAGAGAGAGCTGAAGGGACAGAGGAGAAGAGAGAAGGGGCATGGGCTTGTACAATGGCATCTTCCCGATGTGAACCGCAGCCTGCGGGATCTCAGCTTCTCCTGGACTTCGAGTGCTGGATAAGCCACTGTAGGGTGATGTCTGTGAAGGCGAGAGGAAACCTACAGCCTCACCCCCTCCTGTACCTGGGCAAGCAGCCGTGGGCTCCCCCCATGGCCAGCCCTGCAGCAGAGCCGCCGGTACTCACCGATGTTGTCCTTTTCTTTGCAGGAGATGGAGTAGCAACAGATCTCTCGGTCCTGGATGGCAGAGAGGTTCCTGCAGGGGAGAAACGAGCTCTGGCTGCAGATCCCCATGGCTGTGCACTGGCAGTGATGGGAGATGCCTCTGGGCAGCCTCTTGAGAGGCACCGCAGCTCCAAGACTGGGGACAGCGATGTCTCCCCAGGCTCCCAGGGACCCACATGTGGGTTGGGCGAGGACACCAGCACACTGTGCCTGTGACTGATGGCCAGGCACAGCCTGTGGGGGGCAATGTGATAGGGCAGGAGGGACCCAACCCCATGGAGAGCCTGGCTACAACCACACTGCTTCCCTCCCTAAACCTTGGTTGCACAGCCCTGCAGCGAGACAGGGCAGGGAGGGCTTGGGAGCTGCACAGGAGCTGCATAGGTGCCAAAGGGGCAGGGGAGGTCTCCAAGGGGTGGTTGGGGGGGAACAGAGGTGCTGTCCATCAGCACAGCATCCCAGGCCCCGGTCTGCAGGGCAGGGGATCGCTGCTGGCAGGAGGGAGCATCTGCTGCCAAGAGGATGAGTGAAACAAGGGAGAGCTACGCAGATGGTGTCGCACCCCAGAGCGGGAGCCAAGCACCGAGGGATGCCCATGGAGCAGCGCCAGCACCGGGCAGCGGGGCACAGCTGTGAGGGTGATGGGAGCCCAGCACCAGCACCAGCACCAGCACCAGCACCAGCGTTGTGCCGGGCCCCAACGCCACCGTGTGGCAGGCAGGACCCAGCCCTCGCACTGGCAGCAGCTCCCAGCTCCTCCCTGACCCCATGGGCACGGAGACGTCACCTCCGCCTTAGCATGGCCCCAGCCACGGGTCTGTGCCCACCGCAGGCACCGCAATGCAGCCCTGGCTGGGGAAGGAGCTCAGTGGGGTGCCCGTGCTGGGTACCCGGGGTGCTGTGCTCAGCTCAGGGGCCCCCAAAGCAAAGGGGGTGTGAACCTGCTTGAGAGCACAAAGGAAGCAAGGATGCTGCGAGGGCTGGAGCAGCTCTGCTCTGGAGCCAGGCTGAGAGAGCTGGGCTGGGGCAGCCTGGAGAAGAGAAGGCTCCTGAAGGGGAGACCTGAGAGCAGCTCCAGTGCCTGAAGGGGCTGCAGGAAAGCTGGAGAGGGGCTTGGGACAAGGGATGTAGGGACAGGCCAAGGGGAATGGCTTGAACCTGCCCGAGGGGAGACTGAGATGAGCTCTTAGGCAGAAGCTCTTCCCTGTGAGGGTGCTGAGGCGCTGGCACAGGGTGCCCAGAGAAGCTGTGGCTGCCCCATCCCTGGCAGTGTTCAAGGCCAGGTTGGACACAGGGCTTGGAGCAAGCTGCTCTAGGGGAAGGGGTCCCTGCCTGTGGCAGGGGTTGAACTTTAAAAGGGTTGAAATTCCAACCGAAACCGTTCTATGACTGATCCCATGGCATGGCAGGAACAGGGACAATTCCACTGTGTCACAGCCCCGCTGTGGCTGCAGGGCCATCGGACACTTACATCTTCTCAATGAGCTCTTTCTCATCCAAGGCACCAGGCAGGTCTCGCTTGTTCCCCAGGACTAGGACCTGCAGGGTGGGAGAGGACACCTGAAGCTCCTGGCCAGCAGACCAGGCAGGAACCTGCTTCTGCCATGCAGGAGTGGACCCTGCTTGAGACGCAAGACAGCCCTGGCCACTTCTCTAGGTTCTGCCTGGATGCAGAAAAGCCCTTCAGCAGGCAATCAGAAGGCAGAGCACTTCCATTAACAGCCATAATGAGCCCACACACAGCATCTCTAGGTGCACTCCCTAGTCCCAGTGAGAAGCCAGCCCCACAGCACGCTCTCCCGTAAGGGCACCAGTGTGTGCTGTGCCACCAAGCACCTTCCCCCTGGAGTCTCTTGCAGTCTTTGAGCCAAAAGTCAAGTGAGACAGCTAAACCCAGCGTTACAGGGGAGCAGCGAGATGTGGATGCCGCGCAGAGCCTGCTCTCTGCAGGCAGCCAGCCCAGTGTTTGCACCATCCCATCTCCACTTCTTTCAAGGCTTTCCACATCCACAAAGGAACCCTCAGACTCTGCGAGGAAAATAATCCCCCGTCAGGACTGGTTCATCCCTCCGGAGCGCACCACGCGCCTGTCATCTGACAAGGACAGCACCGAGACTGCAGCCGCCTCCCCGGGGCGAGCCAGGGCCTCTGCAGCAGCACAGTAACGCCGCGTCCCCCAGCTCACGTCGGGAGATGTGGTCTCAGAAAGCAGCATCCAGAGGGGCTGTGAATGCAGTGCATTATGGCAGGAGCTTAATTTAGATGGGGGTGAATGTTTGGGATCTGTTGCAAGATCCTCAATCGCTTCCTTTCAAAGGATGCTGATTTTGGATGCTCCGTAAGCACCCGGACACGAGCAGCAGCCACATCCCACCTCCTGCAAATGCCACAGCCCCGCAGCCACTCTCCTAGGAGATGAGACCTTAATGTCCCCCTCTAAATAAGGTGCAAATTCATGTGAGAGGACAGATGTCACACACTGGGATGTGTCTATGGGTCTGGTCTCTTTTCAAGTCCCTTCCCTGTTTGTTGGTCCAGCCCTGGACCAGAAACCATCATTGACCCAGCTCTCACAGGAGTGCAGCAGCAAAGGGGAACCCCCCACAAGGAAGGGGATCCCCATCCCAAATCTGCTTTGTAAAATGCCAGCCCCCCCTGCTGCAAACCCTGGCAGCCACCAGCCTGGGGACTGTGAGCAGCTGGGGGGGGACGGGACCTATCCTGGCAGCAGCTCACCGGGATGCCCTGGAGCTGTGGCTTGTCGAGCAGGTTGTGCAGTTCATTCTTGGAGGCCTCTATCTTCTCCTGGTCGGCAGCATCCACCATGTACCTGCAAGGGAAGGGACACCCCTGAGTGCAGGCGCTGAGGTCCCCATGCCCCGGCGCTGTGCTGAGGTCTGTGCCACAACCAAACCTTGCTCACACAGCAGCTGCACCCCCCCACAGGCTCCTGAACAGTGCATGGAGGTGATGGATAACAGCATCCTTCCCCCAGCACCCCTCTTCCCACGGAAGACTGTGGGGCTGAGACCCACTCGTGTCCTTGCAGGGGTCCAGTGGGGTCCACCCCACTGACAGCAGGGATATGATGGGCAAAGGAAGACCAGGCACTGCCCAGGCAGAAGAAGCTGCAGGACCTTGCCCTCAAGGCTCATTTGTATGTGGCAGCTCCTATGGAGACATCCAGAATAGAGGATAACAAGTGGAGAAGACAAGAGGAGCTGATGATGAAGAGACCCAGGAGTGGGGAGAGGACCTGCTCATCCTCTTGATGGGAACTATCTTGAGCATGAGGCTTGGGCCAAAGGGCACGTGAAGCCAGAGTCAGCAATGCTTGCTCGGAGCAGACGGGGGGAGATTTAGGGAAGGATTTAACTCTTTCGGGTGATGCTCATCCTGCAAAGGACATGAAGGAAGCCCAAACTGGGGAGAGGAACTGATTAAAGCGGCCTTTAAAGATCAAGAAACTGGGGGAGAAGAAGTGAGAAACACCATCAAGCTTCCACAGGCCTTGGGGGCTTTACTGAAAACAGGGAAAGAGCCTTTAGCTACTGAAGTGCTGAACGCAAGAAAAAGCGCATGGCTGTACCTAGATGGAGAGGGGAAAAACCCACCCAAGCACTGTCATGAGCCTTCAGCATCCTGGGCAGGATGGGAGGGCTGAAGGTAAGGGAAAAGGGCCGTGAGGCAGCTCAAGGCAGACTGAAGCGTGACCGGGATGGCTACAGGTCCCTATGGGTCCCTCTGTTTTCCTCTCAACCAGATTGGCCACTGGATAAAGAATGAAGTTATGGAAGGAGGCAAAATAAATCCCCCCCAATGGTACTGTCATTCCCAGCACAGCTCACTGCAATAAAAGAGGTGTGGAGGTGTCCTGCCATGGGGATGGTCAGCAAGGGCAAGAACAGACACTGCTGTCCCAACAAGCAAAGTGCTCCCTCGCTGCTCCTCACCTGCCAGACCTTCAGCTGGGAAAGGCAGGACAGAAACCCAGCCTCCAAAACCCCGGAGCACAGCCAGCTGGTGAAGATCACCCAGATCTCATCTTTATGAGTGGGTCTAAGTAACTCTGATGTGGTCTCCCAGGGTTAAATACCTGACCTCAGGAGCAGCCAGCCTGCTTCCCATGAGTACTATCCCCAGCCTGCACTCCCTAGGACTGCACTTGCTGCAGTGTTTGCACGCAGGGGATGTGGGAAAGCTGACAGTCAGCAGGAGGCACTGTACAGATACTCCTCTCAGGGCAAGATCCACCCAACAGCACATAATCAGCACGACCTGGACGCTTGCTTCTGGCAGCTGCCCTTAAAACCAGCCTCTTAGAAAGGGCTGAGGCACAGCAACGGTGCTCAGCCCCTGCGATGAACAGGAGCCCAGGGCAAGCACAGGACCCAGGAAGGGCAGGACCCAGCTGGGTTGAGTGATGCTGGAAGGGAAGCGTCTGTCACAGCTGGCAGGGACCTGGCTCCCCTGTGCTCAAAGGGGGGAACCATTCCCAGGGGGAAGCACCTCAACGCCCAGCACAAGTGCCCAGCTCTGGAAGTGGGTCAGCCCAGCCCCCTTTGGTGGGGTGATGGGATTGTGCCCCCACCCGCTGGTGGGGCTCAGCATCAGGGATGGGTGACGGGGCTCCTGGCTCCCAGGGGTACTCACACGATGGCACTCACTCCACGGCAGTACCTCTCCCACATGCTGCGAAACCGCGGCTGGCCACCGATGTCCCAGAGCTGTGACAGGGAGAAGGCGATGTCACCCCAGCACCATCCTGCCCGTGCCCCTTCCTCACCCTCATCCAAACCCACCTCATCCCCTCCTCTTCAGCTCAAGCGACTCAGTAATGAAAGGAGACATCCCAGGAAGGGCAGCAGGTAGAAACCGCCTCTCCCATTGCTCTTGAGGCAGAGACCACCAGTGCAAGCCATGGCCCATCCTTCCCTGTGCTCCCACCCTTGGCAGGGTGACCACATCCATGAATCCCCACCAACAAGGCAGAGGAAACCTACGACTTTGCAGCCCAGACTTGCTCCCACTGCAGAGGTCTGGATCTCCTGCATCTGTTCCCACCATCTCCTCTGGTGGGTACCTGCAAGAGCCTAACAGGGCAGATCGCAGCTGCAGCTGGGGGCTGCTCGCATCCTTCAGCCTCCAGCAGAACAGCCACCAATCTCCCCTTCCCTCCCATCTTTCCTCCCAGGAGCCCCCACCAGCAATAACATCTGCACCTTACCTTTATGGTAACGTTCCCCTTGGTGATCTTCCTCATGTTAAAGCCCACTGTCGGGATCATGTCTTCATTGAACTGTCCTGACTGCAAGGAACAAGGTGGAACAGTGTTAGGAGGCACGGAAACCCCATCAGCCTGGCACAACCCTCCTGGGCCATACCAGGAGCCAAACCAGAGCCACAAGGACCCCTCCAGAGCCAGGCTTCCCCCCAGGGCAGCCACCTCCTGCATCAGCTCCTTTCCGGCCACGAGTCCTGGGGGGCTCCAGCAGGTTTCCTGCTTCACATCATGGAAGGATCAGCCCAAACCAGGCTGACTTCTGCTTTCCTGCAAGCCTGCAGCCTGCCTGCAGCCTGCCTGCAGGGCTCCTCCACCCCCTGCCCGAGAGCCATGTGCCTGCACCGGGTGATGGGGGACTCAAATCCTTCCTCTTCCCGAGCCCAGGAGCTGCCGAAATGCTCCCTCCAGCATCACTGCTCCGAGCTGCATCAGGCAGGAGAAGCATGAAATCACCATGGCTCTGCTGTGAATCTGGGTTATCCTCCCGGTGTGCCGAGCAGGACCTGTCCCTGTGCCGCTGCGCTGGGATGCTGTTCCCCAGCCCACACGCCCAGCACCACACTGAAGGGACAGGATGGTGCTGGTCTCTTAAAGCCCCCCCCTGCACCTTCCAGTTTGCTGCTCAAATCCCAGTGCCTGGGCTGAGCAGCACAGGGGGCTGTTCCGGGTGGTCCCAGGCATCCCAGCCCACAGCCCTCCATCCTCTGCCTCCTGCCTGGCCAGCAGCCTCCCTCACGTTTAGCTCCTTTGGCTTTTTAAATGCATCCCTATGGAAGGCCCCGCTGGGGGAGCCAATGGAGGAGATAACCAGGACAACGTGGCTCGGAGGCTTTTGGCCACCAGTGCCAGCAACCTGCAGGCACCAACTGCAGCCGAACTCAGCAGCTCTTTACTGGCTTAAAACCTCAGGTTTCTCCAAGGCTTCTGTGGGCTTGCTTTCAGTTAACACAAACCTTGAGCAGGGAAGGCAGCGTCGCCACTTTCATGCCTGCTTGAGCCAACGGCTCCTCCAGACACAGCACATCAGCAAGGCCCCAGGGTTTTCCTGACCTCTTCCACCAGTTGTGCAAGACGTGCTGCTTCCCTTTTTCATTTCCTTTTTGTGTCCATCAGCAAAGCCTGGCAGCCGAGGGGTCTCCAAGCCAGAGTGCACGCAGAAACCACGCCAGGGACTGGTGGGGAAGGGCACGGGGGGAAGAGGGGAAGTAGGCAGGAAGCCGTCTACCATCAGCTAACACAGGGGATGCCTCCTGCAGAATGAGGCTCAACACACAACCTGGCTTTATGGACCAGGTTTTAAGGAATGATTGGAAGACATGGGGAGCAATTGGTGAAGAGCTCTTGGAAGCTGCAGATGCCTCCATCGCGGATGCCAGACCACACCATGGGACCTGCTGGCTGCGTGAAAGCCACCCGAGGCACGGCTCACATGTGATGGTAGCTCTTCCAGGAAGAGAGTCCAGCACAGAGCTACAAAGATGATTAAGGGAATGGAACATCTCTCTTATGAGGAGAGGCTGAGGGAGCTGGGACTCTTTAGCTTGGAGGACACTGAGGGGTGACCTCATCAACATTTACAAATGTGTAAAGGGTGAGTGTCAGGATGATGGAGCTAGGTTTTTTTCAGGGATGTCCAGTGATAGAACAAGGGGCAGTGGGTGTAAACTGGAGCATAGGAGGTTCCATGGGAACATCAGGAAAAATTTCTTTACTGTGGGAGTGACAGAGCACTGGAACAGGTTGCCCAGGGGGGCTGTGGAGTCTCCTACATTGGAGATATTCAAGGCCCGCCTGGGCAAGTTCCTGTGATGTACTCTAGGTTACCCTGCTCTTGCAGGAGGCTTGGACTAAATGATCTTCTGAGGTCCCTTCCAACCCTTAGGATTCTGTGATTCTGTGAAGAGACGGGCTGCAGGAGCCAGGAGTCATCGCTGCTTTCCCCCACAGGAGATGGGAACAACCGTAGCTCCGTGAGCAAAGTATGGCCTTGCTCCCTGCCCCAAATCCTTCCCCCAGCACGGGGCCTGCCTCCAGACTGTCCACAGCCAACGGGCCAAACCAAAACCACCCATGCTGTCCAGAAAGACCAGGCTGGGAACGTGACAACTCGCATGGGTCCCTGCTGTCCTGGTACGCACAGGAGCATCCTCAAGGAGCTGCAACGTGCTCAGCTCCTTCTGCATTGGCCACGCTCTGAAAGCAGCTCTGTACAGTGGAAACACGATGTCTCCTTTTCCCTCTCCAACTGCCCTAGATGCTGACACTTCTATGCAGTGGTGCTGTGATGAATGGACCCGTGTCAACCAGACCCCACCGCTGCGACCAAGCTGGACAGACACAACGCTGCAGGAGAGGGATGGGCACCTCGGTCCCCTCCACCCTAAAGAAGATGGTCTCACCACCAAGACCTGCAATTAACATCCATGGTCTGGCCCTGCAGCACCCCTCAGCATGGAAACACAACACCTTAGGACAGAACAGTGGAAAACCCGCAGGCAGCTCCTGGATGTGCTCCTGGTGATGCTCCCGCAGCTGAAGGCGGCTGCGCTGCCCTCCCTGACCCCAAAGGCTCCATCTCAGCTGGAAAACCGGGACAGACACACAGACACATGGCAAGACACTCCCAGCACCTCCCAGGGATGTGCAATGCAGCCCTCAAATCCAAAGGGGAGAAGGCCTCTCTGTCCAAGAGCTGCAGCACTGCTTGCTCCCACCTCCACCCAAGAGCCCACAACCATCTACTGTGTTAGCAGCTCCTCTTGTTCAGGATGTGTCCATAATGAGGCAGCATCAGGATGGGGGGTGGCCACACAAAGTGCTGGAGGCTCTGGAGTGACCACTTACTGACGGCCCAGGCTTTGGGGTGCTGGATGTGCGCAGCCCCCACCAGCCTCGGCACTACTTGATGGCAGCACAGAGTCTGTTAGAGAAAAGCAAAAGCCTCTGGATGTCGGCAAGGCACCGAGGAGCTCAGAGAATGATGCAGGGCGGCATGGAAGCAGAGCTGCTCTGCACCACGCATCCCAAGCCAACCCTGCACCACAGGAGCAGCAAGCAATGCCTCTGGAGGATCCCAAATCCTTTGGGACAAGGCGAAGGTTAGAGCTCAGCACTCCAAGGCTGCCCTGCTTTAAAGGACCGGGCTGCTTGAGCCTCATCCTACCCTTCCCCGTCCCAATCCTGCTGATGTTCACTGGGGCTGCCTTGCAGCTCCGTGCTCTCTGAAGCACAAAGATGATGATGCTCCTTAATGAGCCGGTGTTTGCCACATCCAGAGCTGGGGTCATGCCAAGGGGAGGTGCAAGGACTACACCTGGGTTGCTCGGGATGCGGCAGTGCTCTCACCCAGCAGGCAGCACCCACGCCACGGGCAGATGCTTGCATGGCCAGCTCAATGCACCCCCCCCCTGCACCCAAGGGAGCCCATCCAGGGGCATGGAAGGCCCAAAAGCCATCAGCTGGGTGCAGGGTGATGCCGGCGAGCATCTGCACCGGATGGGGCAGTCGCTGTTCCCGGCTGCCCCAGCACCAGCCCTGGCAAGGACACCCCAGCGAGTCATAAGCGCAGGTCTCACCAGGGAAAAGTGGCCTCTAAGCCCTGGCTTGGAGACCCATGGCTGGGGCTCAGGCTCCCAAACACATGCAGGCACTCAGAAGAGAGAGACCCTTACCCTGGGCAATAGTTAGAAACACAGTCTGGGAAGACAAGGCAGAGGGCACAGCCAGACAAAGGTAGACCAGCAACCTGCTGACACTCCCTACCCCTTATCCCTCTGTTTTCTCATGTCTGTTCCCATATACATCCCAGAAGAAGCCACATCCAGTGCCAAGGTGCTTCTCCCCTGCTGCACTTTGGGTTTCCCACCATGCCTAACTCTGATAGAGCTTGCAGCAGCGAGGCAAGACCATGCCCCAGCCATCTCACTCTCTTCCAGAACCATGGAGAACCCCAGGGAAATGTACCACCAATGCACTATGAAGCTCAGGAAGCAGCAGCCAAGGGCCTGACTCTGCACCTGGGACAGAACAACCATTCAGCACACAGACCCACGTGTACCTCCCACCCCATTCTGGCCCTGCCAGGCCCCATGCAAGGGACATGAGCAGTTAATCGGGCAGGTGAAAATGCATCAGTATAAGATGTCCTTGCTTCTCCCTCAGCATCTCCAGCAGTTTCTCTTCTAGAGCACCTCCCCTACGGAGCCAGGCTGAGAACACTGGGGCTGTTCAGCCTGGAGAAGAGAAGCTGTGAGGAGACCTCATAGCAGCTTCCAGTGTTTGAAGGGGGCTACAAGGATGCTGAGGAGGGACTCTTCATCAGGGACTGCAGTGACAGGACAAGGGGTGATGGGTTCAAACTGAAACAGGGGAAGTTTAGATTGGATCTAAGGAGGAAGTTCTTTTCTGTGAGGGTGCTGAGGCACTGGAATGGGTTGCCCAAAGAAGTGGTGAATGCTCCATCCCTGGCAGTGTTCAAGGCCAGGCTGGACAGAGCCCTGGGTGATGTGGTTTAGTGTGAGGTGTCCCTGCCCAGAGCAGGGGTTGGAAATGGGTGATCTTAGGCTCCTTTCCAACCCAAACCATTCCATGATTCTCTGCTTTCCCACAGTCCTAGAAGACCTTGCTGTCATAGAGCTGCCCAGCTGCCACAGCACCCGCCATCCCACCTGATGCCATGTGCATGCTTGGCATGGTTTCCTCTCGCAGCATTGATCCACATCACTTTCTGAGAGGGTCTCAAGCATGGGATCACTGCCCCAGGGCCACCACCACACCTTGGCCCCCAGCCTGCAGCTCTGCAGCCTTGGAAGGCTCTGGCAGGACGAAGATGTGTGATGTTGAAGCTAGAGCAGAAAACCACCGTCTTTCTCGAAAGCCATCCTGCACTGATGGGGTCTGAGCCCCAGCACCCACTGAGGAGCTCTCAACACCCTCAAGTCTCACCCTTGTCACCCCCAACCTGTGGAAAAGGCAGCTAAAAGCCCACTGGCTCCTCCTGGGAGATCTCTCCAACAATGCCAAAACCCAATGCTTTTCCTTTTAGGATTTTATCTTCCCCGAAGCCCAAATCACAGCTTCTTCCCTTTCCAGTGCTCCCATTCTGTTTGGCTCAAACGTTTCTCATGCAGTTCATAGAATCATAGAATAGTTTGGGTTGGAAAGGACCTTAAGATCATCCAGTTCCAACCCCCCTGCCATGGGCAGGGACACCTCACACTAAACCATGGCACCCAAGGCTCTGTCCAGCCTGGCCTTGAACACTGCCAGGGATGGAGCATTCACACCTTCCCTGGGCAACCCATTCCAGTGCCTCAGCACCCTCACAGTAAAGAACTTCTTCCTTAGATCCAATCTAAACTTCCCCTGGTTCAGTTTGAACTCATCACTCCTTGTCCTGTCACTACAGTCCCTAATGAAGAGTCCCTCTCCAGCATCCTTGTAGGTCCCCTCCAGATACTGGAAGCTGCTCTGAGGTCTCCACGCAGCTTCTCTTCTCCAGGCTGAACAGCCCCAACTTTCTCAGCCTAAACAAGAGCTTCTCCCCAACAAGATCTTCTTTACAGGCTGTTTTCTCAAAGGTCGGTGCCTCTTTTTTGGGTGCATCTGCCCCAAAATCCAAACGTTCCAAATAATTTCACAGAGGCAAAACTGCAGCAGAGACTGAGCTCCATGCTCAGCACCCGGAGCCCGACTGCCTTGCAAGGAGTTAAACACCCCTCCTCAGACCTCATGGTGCACCAGCAGACCAAGAAGCTTCATCCCATGGGCAGAAGCATAGAATCATGGAATGGCTTGGGCTGGAAAGGACCTTAAGATCATCCAGTTCCAGTTTGCTGCCATGGGCAGGGATGCCTCACACTAGAGCATGCTGCCCAAGAGAGGAGCACGGAGAGCTTCCCTTGGGAGCTGCTGTAATTCCTGGATGCCACTCTTCCCTACACCAGCAACCCAAGCAAAGAGAGCCTTGGTGCACAAGTCTTGCACGCAGCACAACTGCCAGGTCCGAGCTGTTGGCAAGAGGATGAGGGCCATCCCCAGTGATTTCCAGCCTTGTGCAGGGGAAGAGTCCAGCATGGGCGGGATAAAGCCCCATTGCCCTTTAATGCTTATCCAGTTCTTTTAAAAGGCGCTAAATAACCACATCCCACCTCGATACTGGACTGCAAAAAGGGCCCATTAAACATGCAAATGCCAGGGTCAAAGTCACCCCAGGAAAGGACGGGTGCTCATGGTCCCTGTCCCAGAGCTGGCACGGGTCTGCTGGGAGAACCAACACGGGGCCTCAAGAACATTTGCATCCCTGCAGACACCGGCACCCAGGGAAACCCTCCCGGGGATCAGCAGCGCAAGGAAGCCTCCAAATCCAATGCAAAATCACCTTTGACAGCCCAGCAGCTCCCAGCACCGCCGGCAAGCAGAAGTCACTCGCTTTACTCCAGAGCTGAGGCACTAAGTGGAGCAATGTGCATGGAAAAGGGGGGGGCACTGAGGAACCAGGGCAGCCGGAAGATCCACATCCACCTCCCTCCATGAAATCCCCTGGGAGCACCAGCCTGGACCTGCCCCGTCAGGATCCACCTGCAGCAGCTCCCGCCTCGCAGGGCAAGAAGAACCCAAAAGGCAAGAGGGGAGACACTGCCGAGCATCCCCATAGGGGAAACCACACCCTGGGCTTGGGGATCCAGGCAACCCAGCTCCTGCTCCATCACCGGATCCACGTGGCTGAGGCAGCAGAGCTGGGGAGAGGCCGAAGTTGAAGGGTCCCTGTCGCTGCCCCATTAGGGTACAAAGCTCGCGCCACTGCAGCAGCACCCCAGCACCCACCGGACACCGCTGCGGGTGGGTGCTCGCCGAGGAAGGGACAATAAGGTCCTGGTGGCACCGTGAGGGGCCTGGCGATGACAAAGCACCCGCCGCGAGGGGATGCGGGCAGGAGCTCCCCGGAATGAGGCACCCGTGAGCCTGGGACCAGCCACGGCCCCAGGACCCGCGAGGGGCAGGGGGATGCTGGGATCCTCCCCTAGGGCCTGCTCCAGCTGCGGCCCCGGAGCCGCCGCACTCAGCACCAGGGATGCGGGAGCAAAAGCTGGGACCTACTGGGGGTGCACCCTGCACCCCACAGCTGCACCACAGCCTGCACCCCACTGCCTGCACCCCACAGCCTGCACCCCACTGCCTTCACCCCACACCTGCACCACTGCCTGCACCTCACACCTGCACCGCTGCCTGCACCCCACACCTGCACCACTGCCTGCACCCCACACCTGCACCCCACTGCCTACACCCCACACCTGCACCACTGCCTGCACCCCACACCTGCAGCACTGCCTGCACTCCACACCTGCACCCCATTCCCTGCACCCTACTGCCTGCAGCCCACACCTGCACCACTGCCTGCACCCCACTGCCTGCACCCACTGCATCGTGCACCCCACATCTGACAAATGCATTTCGGGGCTGGGGTGCACCCGAGCAGCGCAATTCCAAGGGGCACAGCGAGGGCTGGGTGCAGCGATGGGGGGGGGGACACGACGACGACGTACCTCGATGGAGGGGGTGCAACGAGCAGGGGTCACAATGCGGGGGAGGGGAGACGGGGAGGATGCTACGGGGGGGTGGGGGTGGGGCAGAGATTGGGGTCCATTGGGGTGAGCACCGCGCGGGGGGGGGGGGGGGGCTGGGCGCTGGCCCTGGTGGGGGAGGGGCGCGGCGCTCACCGCGATCACGTTGACGAAGGTGGTCTTGCCCGAGTACTGCAGCCCCACCAGCGTCAGCTCCATCTCCTCCTTCCAGAAGAGCGCCCGGAACCAGTCCAGCAGCTTGTTGAAGAGCGCCAGCATCCTGCCGGGCCGGGCCGGGCCGAGCCGAGCCGAGCGGAGCCGAGCCGAGCCGAGCGGGGCCGAGCCGGGACGGGGCGGGGCCGAGCGGAGCCGAGTGGAGCCGAGCGGGTCCGGGCCGAGCCGATCGAGGCCGAGCCGCCGCCGCCGCCCCGGTATTGTCCGCGCGCCCTCCTGCCGCACCGCCGCGCGCCGGGTGGGGCCCCGCGCGCCGCCCGCAGCCCTCCCGCACTCTGCCGCCCCCTGCCGGATGGGAGGACCCGCAGCACGCGGCGCTTCGCTGCGCCTGCCGGGGCGGGATGGAGCGGCCCGGTACCGCCAGCGCCCGGTACCCCTGCATCCTGCACCCCTGCATCCTGCACCCCTGCATCCCTACATCCAGCACCCCTGCATCCAGCACCCCTGCATCCCTACATCCAGCACCCCTGCATCCTGCACCCCTGCACCCCTACATCCTGCACCCCTGCATCCCTACATCCAGCACCCCTGCATCCAGCACCCCTGCATCCCTACATCCAGCACCCCTGCATCCAGCACCCCTGCATCCCTACATCCAGCACCCCTGCATCCAGCACCCCTGCATCCCTACATCCAGCACCCCTGCATCCTGCACCCCTGCACCCCTACATCCTGCACCCCTGCATCCCTACATCCAGCACCCCTGCATCCAGAACCCCTGCATCCCTACATCCAGCACCCCTGCATCCCTACATCCAGCACCCCTGCATCCCGCACCCCTGCATCCCTACATCCAGCACCCCTGCATCCTGCACCCCTGCATCCCTACATCCAGCACCCCTGCATCCAGCACCCCTGCATCCCTACATCCAGCACCCCTGCATCCTGCATCCCTACATCCAGCACCCCTGCATCCAGCACCCCTGCATCCCTACATCCAGCACCCCTGCATCCCTACATCCAGCACCCCTGCATCCTGCACCCCTGCATCCCTACATCCAGCACCCCTGCATCCAGCACCCCTGCATCCCTACATCCTGCACCCCTGCATCCTGCACCCCTGCATCCTGCACCCCTACATCCTGCACTCCTGCATCCTGCACCCCTGCATCCCTACATCCAGCACCCCTGCATCCAGCACCCCTGCATCCTGCATCCCTACACCCAGCACCCCCACATCCTGCACCCCTGCATCCCTACATCCAGCACCCTACACCCAGCACACCTGCATCCTGCACTCTTGCATCCTGCACCCCTACACCCAGCACCCCTGCATCCTACACCCCTGCATCCAGCACCCCTACATCCAGCACCCTACACCCAGCACCCCTGCATCCTGCACCGCTGCATCAGCACCCCTGCATCCTGCACCTCTGCACCCAGCAACCCTGCATCCAGCATTCCTACATCCAGGAACCCCAGCACCCGTCACCCTTACATCCAGCACCCAGCACCCCTGCATCCAGCACCCTTGCATCCTGCACCTTGCATCCAGCACCTCTGCACCCGACAACTCCAGCATCCGGCGCTCCTACATCCAGCAACCCTAGCATCCAACACCCTTGCACCCGGCACCCCTCTATCCAGCACCCTTGCACCCAGCAACCCCAGCACTCCTGCACCCCAGCATCCCCTGCACTCAAGTGCCCCAGCACCACTGGACCCCTGCAGCATGCACTGTTATCCCTGTACCATGCGACATCCCCCACCCAGCACCCCATTGCCCCCAGCACCCTTGCACCCCTGCACCCCATTTCCCCTATACCCAGCACCCTATGCCCCCAGCACCCAGCATCAGTTCTGCACCAGCGCCTCTGCGCTCAGCACACCCACACCCCCTTCACCCTATGGCAGCAGTGCCCAGCACCCTGCTGTGGCTGGCACCGATCCCGCATGCTGGAGCAGCACCTCTGCAGCACCCAGCACAGCTCCTCCATCCTTCCTGCACCCTTACACATCTGCTCCCCTGGTCCCCAGCTCTCCGTGCATGAGGGGGACCTCAATGTCACAAGAGCTGAGGAGCAATTTTCCATGCACAGAATGAGGCACAACCCAAAGGCACCAAACTGTCTGTAAGACGTTTATATACCCTGCTGCAACACCACCCTATAGAGACCAGGCTGGGCCCTGCAGCCTCAAAACACCCTCATTTTCACCCAGCTAAGCTCTGCTGGGCTGCAAGGGGATACTGAACTGCTCCTGCACCTTAGGTACATGTGCAGGCTCTGCTTTCAATCTGTTTTGTGCTTCCACACTGATGCTGAGTGCCCAGGGCAGACCACAGCCCAGCTGTGCAATACTGACAGGGCTCAGTCACATCCAGGATGGATCTGAACCAGTCCTAAAGTGAGGGCTGACACACGGGGGGCACTTAACCTGCCAGAGGGGAGACTGAGATGAGCTCTTAGGCTGAAGCTCTTCCCTGTGAGGGTGCTGAGGCGGTGGAGGAGGTTGCTGGTGCTCCCGCAAGAGAGCAGGATGCTGAATGCACTGCTGGGGCTGCCTGAGGCAAATGTATGCATAGAAAACAGAAACTGAGCTGTGGCTGGGTGTGCCTCGCAGTGGGTATCTCAGAGCCCGTGACAACTGATGGTGGGAAAGAGTTTCCATCACATGCTGTAAGTCACTGGGAAGCTGCCTTTGGTTTTGGAGTCAGAACCCGTTTTGCTCTCAGAGATGCTGCAGCCTGCTAAAGACCCCCATGCTCGCAAAGGTAGGCCTAAGGAAGCAGGAGTATCATTGCTTTTGGTGATGAGTCCATTGTAACTCCTCTTTGTGCCAGCGAAAACCTCATCATCGCCCAATTCCTGTGGGTAATTCTGTCTGAAGATGGGGTTTCTCTAAAGAAAACCCAACAGATTCCAGCCCAGGGAATGGCCCACACCAGAGCAGGGCCTCCCTCCCAACACGCCTGTGGCATTCAAGTTGGTAGCAGAGATTGCCTCTTGATAGCACACGTTTTACTGCATGGTCTCCATGGACCGCTCCGGGACCTCTCCAGACAAGAGCATGTTTTACATTCCCAGCACGTTTCGATGTGGTTGCTCAACCAAGTTCCTTAAAGAACCTGAATCCCGGTCAACCTCCAGCCTGGGGACTCGTCACAAGGGTAGGAAATGCAGTAGCAGCCTGGGAAGCCCCAGGCCAAAATCAGAGTCATGTGGAGAAAGGTTTCGTGAACCCTGGGCAGGATCTGACCTCCTGGGGGTCTGCTGGCCAGGGCCCCCAGTACTGGAGCTCCCTACCTGCTTGTCTGGGCTGCATCCCCAGCAAGGCTCAGAAACACCATGGGAAGGAAAAACCTTGGGGGTCAATAGCACGCTTTTAAGGGAGAAGAATGAGGAACAGGAGCAGCCTTGACCCTGCTGAACCCCCTGGCCAAGATGTGGGGAGAGGCAGGATGTTTGGAGGGATTCCCCTCCTTTGCCTGCTGGCCACCCCGTGGTCTTTGTGGACAGGGTGAAGCAGCTTCCCAGGACTGACACAGCCCAGGCCGAACACTCTGCTTCCCCGAGTGAACCCCGGGATGGGGTTTTGCAATAATGCAGGCAATCGCTCAGCATAGCCCTGAGGAACGCTTGGGAAATCAATACAGAGAGGGTGGAGAGGTACTGAGATAGTGCAGTGGTAACGGCCTGATAGAAACGGAGATTGAAGGACAGCAAAACTGCTTAACTGATCATCACCTGCATCAGAGAGAGCTGATGGGGAGCAAGCCCCATCAGAATCAAGGGGGGGGAGCAACACCCCTGCCTGGCTGCCAGTCCCAAAGATGCTCCCGTGGGCTCCTTCAGAGACCCTCACACAGCTCTTGCTGCCCTAACATCTCTCCTCTTGAGAATAAACCACAAGGATGAGAGAAATGGTGCCTGTCCTGCTGGGCAGGGAGCTTAGGGAAAGGCTGGGCCTTGGTGCAGTTTGCAAGGCTCAGGTTCCCCTGCCTGATGGCGACGTGGGGAGGAGGATGCTGTGGGCAAGCTGAATGAAGCCGTGCTCAGTGGCACGAGGAAGGGTTGACCTGGCATTGGGCACGAGGAGGTGGGGAGATCGATGCGCCAGGGAGATCCAGATGCTGAATGGGGAAGGACATGAGTTCAGATGTGGGGTTTTTCCTTCTGCAGGACAGGGAGCGGGTCTGTTCCTGGTGATGGGCTGTGCTAGCAGAGGGGTTCTCGCTGTCCATCACTCTTCCATCCACTCCTTGCAGCAATCAGATGCTTAACACAGCTTTATTTTATAGTGCCCTGGCAAGTCCTCTATCCAGAGAGTCTGCAGACACATGGGAATGACTGATAGGGACTACCAGGGCTCAGCAATACATTATAATCACTGTAATACTGGATATTTTTGCACAGTGCTTGGTCTGCCACTGGGCTTGCTGCTTAAGGCCAGTGAGAACAGGGAGAAGCAGCTGCCTTTGGCTCAGGACCCATCCCTGGACAAGGCTCACTTGCACACTTGGGCAGCCACTCAAGTGCATCTCGGGTACCCACAGTGTGGTGGATTGGGGTCCATGCACACAGCCCTGACCTGGGGATGCTTGGGGCAAGCTCAGGCTCTCTCAGCAATAAGATTGACCCTTTTTTCCCTTCATCTCATTCACTGAGTGGGTCACGTCAGGGCTCGTGGGCACAGGCAGGTGCAGTGCAGGCAACCCCCAGCTCCTTGTCAGTCGTTGCCCCGGAGGGTGTGCAGCATCCCTCAGCTGAAGGCCAGGCTTTGATGTATTCTACAGACTAGTTCCATCTCTATGCTTTGTGCCAAAATGTTCCTCCCTCTTCTTCCTTCCCCCTCCCCATTGAATTTATCAGTGAAAAAAAACCACAAAACCCAAATATTTTGCTCCGATTTCAGCCCCAACAATTCAAACCCTCTTCCCTGTGTAACAGAAGGTGATCGGGTACGCATCGCTTGTGGAGTTGAAGATGCACGTAGGAACCTCCCCTACTTTAAGGCTGTTGAGAAGGTGTTGGCTGAAGGTGGAGAGGAAAGCAAGCCTTGTCATGAAAGCAACCAACTGCAGCCCTCTTGTACCACATCATCGAGGGGTGTCTTTAGTAAGAAGAGCATCGCAGCGCGTGTTTGGAGCAAGCCCAGCGCTGCCCACAGGTGATGCTCTGGTTATTTGCAGGGTGATTCTGCCAGCTCTGGGTCTCACGGGGAGAGCATCCCCATGGAGCTAAAAGGCAAACAGTGCTCCCAGTGCTCATCCGGCTTCAGCTCCTCTGCACTGCCTGGGGAGGCTCCCGTTGATCCTTTCGAAAGCCAAAGCCTTTTTCCGTAGGTGAAATCTGCCTTGAGCCAGCAGCAACGGGCACCTCAAGCACCCACGGAATCCCTCAGGTGAACCTGTCGAGCCTTGCTCGTCCCCAGGGTCACAGAGTCCCCACGGGTTTGCTCATCCTGAGGGATGCTCCTGCTGCTGCTCCGGTGGGAGCTAGCAGCATCCCGCCTCCAGCAGCTGGGAAGCGTAGAGAGCCAGTGTGTGATGGAGAAACTGGTACTGCTCGCTCGTCTGGATCATCCCGCCTCTGCAAGGGAAAGGCAGGTCCCACTGACACCTCCCAAAGCCCACAGCCCCATCCCTGGCTCCCTGCTTCCAGGGCACAAACATTCCTGCTTCACCCACCACATCCAGCTGCCTCTGGAACAGGCAGCAGAGCTGTCTGAAGAGCGTTCAGGCTCAGCAGCAGCGCCGGGCTGTGCACAGTGCAGATCAGCAACCGATTTGGCTCTGATTTTTACCAGTGAAAAGGGGCAAAGCGAGTGCTTCTGGATGCAGTGGCTGAGCTGAAAGGAGCAGACTTGGCTGCCAGGCTCAGAGCTCCTCTCCCTCATGTCCTCAGGTCCCCAGAGCTGCAACAGCCCCGATAGGAAAACCAGCCTGGCACTGGGGATTCGTTTGCTATTGACCCATCTGCATCCCTCAGCAACCCTTCTGGTTTCCATCAAAACCCATCCCCGTGCCCCCTGGTGATGTCCATCCCCACATCCCTCCTCCCAGACCGGGTACCCAGCAGGCCCCTGCTCCGAGCCCCCACCTGTCCATGCGGAGACGGCACACGATTCCCAGGATATCCACCTCCCCCTTGTCCTTCAGCTGCTGGCACCCGATCCTGGTTGCGATGAAGCAGCCTGTCCGCCCGATGCCTGCGCTGCGGGACACACAGAGCTGTGCTCAGCACCCACAGGATCCTTTGTCTGAGCTGAACATGCCCCTGGCTTGGTTTGCTGCCGTTGCAGGTTGAACAGCTCTGCTGTGGGGATGCTGCACCCTGGGACCCCTGCAGCACAGCGGGATCAGGTCCCCTCCTGCATTTGCAGACCGACCCCAAGGCGGGGGAGCACCCAGGGGCTTGGGTGAGGGGAGAGCTCTTACCTGCAGTGCACAACGATGGGTCCTGGGCTGGCTGCAGCCTGCAGAGTCTCCTCCACCTTGGACACCAAGTGCAGCAAGGGCTTGGCTGACCCAGGCGTCTGCTGGTCCGGCCAGGAAGGGAAGAGGATGTGTTTGACCTGGCGGCATTCACCTTCGAGCTTTCCCCGCATGGAAGAAAGAGAAATGAGGATGTGGGAGCAGCCCCCGGGCTGGGCCGGATGAAGTCCAGCCCAAGCCGGGCAGACCGCATCCATCTCTTTTCCTCTGAATCCCTCTTTGAGCCTCTGCCATTCACCCAGGAGAGACCTCCTTGGGCAGGCAGGAGCTCTGCAGCCCCCTCCTCTGCCTGGGGCTCCTAAGAGCCAGCTCTCAGAGCCGTGAGCCCTCTGCTCTGCTCCCACAGCGGTGCCCTCCTGCCAGAGAGCCTGGGGATGCTGCGGGCACTGCCAGACCCTGCTAGGCTCCCCCTCCGCCCCCGGGATGCAGCTCGAACCCACCTGGATGGAGAGATCCCGCACCACGTACTCCGCGCAGTCGCTCACCCCCTGCACACGGATGGTGAAGGGGCCGTAGGTGCCCTCCTTCTGGGGCCAGTAGTGGACACATTTCTGCAAGAACAGGGCAGGATTTGGGCCGTGTTGATGCCCGAGGCACCCAGCCTGCGGGGGGGACACCGGGATGCTCTGCCAGGCGGGGAGGGAGGGGACAGAGAGGGGGAACCCCCCGCCCCATGCAGGTGCTGCTTGGACAGAGCCAGGGTTCAGGGTGCTGCCAGCGCCCATCCCAGCCCGGATCCACTGCCTGGGAGCTCCCAGCCCAGAAGCAGAGCAGCTCAGGACTGGAGGGACGCTGCTGTCTGCTGCTTCCCCTCCCTCTCGCAGGGGTTGCCCTCTTTATCCTGTTATCCCGCTGGCAAAGCATGCCCAGGGCACGTGAGGAGGAGGGGGGCCAAGGCTGCAGCCCTGGGGTTCTCCACCTCCATGTGTGAGGGGAGAGAACCTGCTCAGACCCCCCCCCTTGGTCTTGCAGGACCCTCTGTTGTTGTCATCACCCCACAGCACCCCTGGCTTCTGGCTGGGGAGGGGCAGCGGTACCTCCTTGTGCTCCTGGAGCTCGGTTATCATGATGATGAGGGGCACCTCCTCCTGCCACACCATCTCCCAGAAGTCGCTCACGGTGTTCAGCATGGGTCCCTGCGTGGCAATGTACTCCCGGGGCCGTCCTGCATAGCCCTGCCAAGCACATGGTCCATTGGTGATGGTGCAGGGGGACCCTGATGTGTGGGGATCCTGTCTCCAAGCCGCTCCAGCCCTCATGGTGCTTTTCTTCCTCTACAGACTGGGCCACACAGGCCGTTTCCTGCCAAACCTGTCCTTGAAATGCTTTTATAGACCCTATCAGAAACTACCGCACGTCCTCTCCATCCTCCTGGTCCCACAATCCAGGAGCGAGCCCATGAAGCAAGCCCTGCGCACCCAAGCTCCTTGCAAGCATCCCCAGGTTGCTGGGGTGATGACACCCAGGGTGATGGACACCCTGGTGAGGCAGAAATGCAGGGAGCAGCATCCTCACTGCAGGCATTCCCCCAAGGACAAGCAGAGCCCATCCAGCCCTGCTCTGGCTGGGACCTGGGATAGTCCCAGCTGGGTCCCACCAGTCCTGTGGCCGCCAGCCCAGTGGTGGGCACAGCGTGTGCCCCAGCGTGGCACTGTGCACCGAAGGGACTGCAGCCTGGTGCCTCGTGATGCTGCGTGCGGCAGCACCCGGGGGACCACCGCTGTCCAAGCAGGCAGGACGCTCACCGTGATGTAGTTGGCATTTATGTAGCTGCTTTCCTCCTGCTTCCCTGCCCTCCGGAGGCAGACCCGGCTCTCAGGATCTGCAAGACGCAGAAGGCAGCACCTCAGGACCCTGACCCTGTCCATCCTCCAGCTCAGAGCTGTCTGCACCCTCTCTCAAGCCCCTTCTTGCCCCACTTCACCCTCACTGCCATGGCAGGGTGCAGCCAGCCATGCCCTGTACCGCAGCGGGATGTGGGGTAACTCAGCTGCTGGGCAATGACTCCCAGGGCCAAGCAGAGCCCAAAGGAGCCCTCCTGTAACGTTCTCAGCCTTTACACCCCCAGTGCCATGCCCTTGGCACATGGCAGGGACCATCCCTGGGAATACAACCCAGGGAGCAGCTCCCCACAACGCACGGTGCACCCCTGCTCTGCACAAGCACCCAGGGACGCACCACCACCACCACCACCTTTCCAATGGGAGGTAAAGGGATGCAGCAGCACTTACTGGGGAGGATGGTTTTGTATCTGTCCTTGGAGGCACGGCCAGGGATCTCCAGCTCCTCCGGACTCACAAAGTTGGGTGGGATTTTCTGCAAGGGGAGAGCACAATGAAGAGGAAACCCCATTGCTGCTGCTTGTGGGGGCAGAACTGGTCCCTTACAAACACAGGGCTAACCCAGGGACCGAACGGTGTCCCAGCTCCTGAGATGAGCCCTGTCCTTACCCCAGATGTGGGGGACACCCTAAAGAGAGCCTGGCTTGGGAGCTCAGCACAGGGGCACAAACAGGACTTGGGTGCACCAGGGAGTGGGCAGACAGGGAATGCCCAAGGCCCCCCTCACCTCTGTTTGCCCACATCCCCTTCCCGGGCCTCCCTTGGTGATGTCCCCCCTGCCAGCCCCATCGCTGCCAGCCTCTGCCGTGCCTCCTGTGAGGAAGGGGAGAGGAGGGGAGCATCGCACCGCAAACTCCTCCTGGAGCTGTGTCAGGCTCTGGGTGCGCTGCTGGAGCTCCTCTGTCCGCAGCACGTGGCTGGATGTCCTCAGGAACTGCAGGGTGATGTCCCGCGGCGTGCAGACGGGCTGGATGGGCTCCACGCTCCCCAGCAGGCTCATGTCCAGCATCAGCGACATGTTGGAGCCCCTCCTGTAGGGCAAAGGGGTCCCTGGCTGAGCCTCTGCACCACATCCTGCCACGCCATCAGTTAGAGTCACCCCACACTGAGCAAAAGCCAGGCAGAGAATAAGAGAGGATGAAGCCCAGAAAGCCAACCGTATCCTGGGCTGCATCAAAAGGAGCGTGACCAGCAGGTCATGGAGGTGATCCTGCCCCTCCACTCTGCTCTCTTGAGGCCTCACTTGCAGCAGTGTGCAGTTCTGGTGTCCTCAACATAAAAAGGACATGGAGCTGTTGGAACAAAGCCCGAGGAGGCCATGAGGATGAGCAGGGGCTGGAGCACCTCCTGTGTGGAGACAGGCTGAGAAAGTTGGGGCTGTTCAGCCTGGAGAAGAGAAGCTGCGTGGAGACCTCAGAGCAGCTTCCAGTGTCTGAAGGGGGCTGCAAGGATGCTGGGGAGGGGCTCTTCATCAGGGACTGCAGTGACAGGACAAGGGGTGATGGGTTCAAACTGAAACAGGGGAAGTTTAGATTGGATCTAAGGAAGAAGTTCTTTACTGTGAGGGTGCTGAGGCACCGGAATGGGTTGCCCAGGGAGGCTGTGAATGCTCCATCCCTGACGGTGTTCAAGGCCAGGTTGGACAGAGCCTTGGGTGAGATGGTTTAGTGTGAGGTGTCCCTGGCCATGGCAGGGGGTTGGAACTGGGTGAGCTTAAGGTCCATTCCAGCCCAAACCATTCTGTGATTCTATGATTCTATAAGAAAGGCAGAGAGCCTGGAAGATGCAGGAACCAGGAACAAGCTGGGGCATTTCACCCTTTGCTGGCATCTGCACAAGCTGGGGGGCAGCAGGGATGGGCTGGGGTAAGGAAGCCTGGGCAGGCCCAAGCTGTGGGGGTGAGCAGCACCTTGGGTCCCCGTGCTGAGCGGGCAGGCAGGGGTCAGGCTGCAGCCTCTCACCTCTCCTGCAGGCGCACATGCTTCTTGGCAGGGGGACTGGGCTTGTCCTTGTCCTTGTCCTTGTCCATGGCTGTCCCGGCCGCCCGCGCGGTCAGACTGCAGCTAGGACCTCTGGAACACACCAGGCAGGATTGTACCATGCTGCGGCAGCCACGAAGCCCTGGTCCTGAAGCGCAGGGAGCGGATGCACGGGGCCCTCAGCCGTCGGAGGGGAAGCGGCTGCAAAAGAAAAGGCAGATCTGAAGGATACCATGATGCTGGGGACCCCCCCCCCCCGACAGATGGTCCCTAAACTTGTCACCGGTCACCCCAAAACCAGGACCCCTGCATGCGGGAGGGTGGCACAGGGAGAGATCCCAGCGTGTTCACCCTCTGGGATGCTCACAGCACTGCAGACCGCAGGGGCACCCACTGGGCATGGCATCTGCTTCACCAAGTGGAGGACACCCAGGCCCCGTGCACTGGTTTTGGGGGGGGTCCAAGATGCTCTCCACGTCCATGGGATGCACACACTGCTTCCCACGTGCCTGCTGCTGCGGGCTGGTGGGGAGGAGGGAGAGCATGAGCACAGCAGCATTGGGAAGGTGAGATGAGGGGGGCTGAGACACCGCAAGGAGCCTGGCCAGCTCCTGCTGTTGGGAAACACGGGGTCAGGCCCCCTCGCCAGCCCCGTGGTTCTGACAAGGGAGGGATGACCCTGGGGCTGCCTCATCCATCCCTCAGGTTTCAGCAGCTGTCGAGGAAACTGCTTTATCTGGGTGGTTGAGCAAGAGGCGATGGGGCAGCGCTGCTGGGGGAGGGTGACCGGGCCCCACCAGCCCCAGGACAGAACCTTGTAAGGACATGGAGATGCAGGTGATGCTCTTGGGCAGAGCTCCTCATGGCGCCGGCAGCACCATGGGACCAGGAGGCTCCTTCCCAACCCCAGATTCCTTCATGAGGAGGAAACAGATCCATGGGGACACGGGATGCTGTGGCGTTGGAGCTCCTGCTTGTGAACCAGTGGGACCTCAGCTACCCCATCAGCTCAGGGAGGTCCTGCAGAGAGCTGGGACCCTGCTGTGGCTGTGCCATTTGAGAGCGCGGCTCAGAGAGGAGCTGTTCCCCATCACTCCCTGCTGCCCCACAGCACTTTTGGGGGCTGGCCAGGCTGCCGCTGCCGTGCACAGCATCCTCATGCCCCACACAGGGTGCCCTAGAGGCACTGTGCTGCTGCAGCATCCCCTGCCAGGCAGGGCAAGGGCGGCTGCTCCTTAGGAGAGCTGGGGAGATGCAACCGGAGGCAGCAGCAGCTCCAGCCCCAGCAGCCCCATCCCTCACCCACCAGCCAGGAAACCCCCGGGACATGACCCAGCCAAGAAGCCCCCCGCAGGCAGAAAGGCTCTGGAAGAGCCCCCAGCGCCAGCGCTGCAGGGAGAGCACCCCATCACCCATCACCCTGCCCAGCATCCCTGCCCTGCCCCGAGCTGCCCCACGGGGTCCCTTCTCCGGGCGCGCTGGGTGCTGCCTACCTGCTGCCCATGGCGGGGGCTCCCTCGCTCTCGGCCCGGGCCCACAGGCACCGCGTGCATCAGTGACAGCCAGGGTCTGAAAGGATTCAGGAAGCCGCTTATCAAAGGCGCTGCTGCTCTGCCGCTTCCTCCCCTCTTCCGCACACCCTCCCTGTCACCCACACGCGTACCGGCCACAGCACCGCGGCTCCATCTGCGCGGCCCCGGCCCTGCTCTGGGGACACCAGGCATCACTTGCCCCACAGGGAGCCAGGGTGGGTCAATCACAGAACCCCAGCCTGGTTTGGGTTGAAGGGACCTTAAAGCTCCTCCAGCTCCAACCCCTGCCACGGGCAGGGACCCCTTCCATAGAGCAGCTTGCTCCAAACCCCGTCCAACCTGGAGTCCCCCCATCCCTGTCTCCCTGGTATCCCCTTTACCCAGGTTCCACCATGGGGCAAGCCAGGGCTCGGTGCCTCTCACCCTCATTGCCTGGCATGCACGGTGTGGTCCTTGTGCCCCCCCACTGTCTGCCTGCCCCATTCCCGGGTAGGTGCCCTCCACTCCCCCTCTGCATCCAGCATCATCCTTGGGCATTTCAGGGGAACCTCAGCAGAGCAGGGAAGGGGATGTGTTTGGGGAGGCTGTGGCTCAGGTAGGACAGGCCTGCCCATGGGGCACTGCACATCCTTCCTGTGAGTGCCTGCTGCCGCAGCGCTGCCACTCTTCCTGTTGCTGCCCAGGCTCTGTGCAGGGACACTGCAGGCTTCCTTCCTCTCAGCTTCCTTCATCCCCCCCAGCCACCATGGGCCTCGCATCCCTTGGCTGCTCCACAGCTCATTGCAGCGACCAGAGCTGTCTCTGGGATTTGTGGTGCCAGCACTGCCCATCACTGAGCTGTCTGTGCACGCCTGGGGGTTTGCGAGGGGATGCGGAACATCATCACTGATGTTCCCTGTCAGTGCCCCTTTATACCCAAGAGCTGAGAAATCAGAGGGCCCAAACTCCAGAGCAAAGTGCTGGGCTTGGCCAGCAGCACAGCAGCTTTATCCTGGAGAGCAAACTCTCCTAACCCACCAGCATCTGTGTCTTATGGGCAGCTACCAGGGTGCCACAGCCTATGCACACCTGTACTGGACCATATCAGTGCCTGGACCATAGTGTACTCATTCCTGACTTGCCTGACTGCAGGAGGACCCGCACAGACCATGCATGGCCCAGAGACCGCCCACAAAAGCCTGGCAGCGCTTGGAGGTGCTGAGTGAACCCACACGTGCAGAGGGCATGTTCCTGTTTGCTCACTGGTGGCCACCCGTGCATGCTAAGGGCCTGCAGAGCACAGAGCTGTGCGCACTGCTCCTGGCCACCCCTGTGCCCCAGCTTGGAAAAGGATGCTGCCACCCTGCTCCTCTTGAAGGACACACGCTGGGCACGGGATGTGTTCTCTGCCCGTGGATACCTGTGCATGAGCATCACGAGTTGGGATGAAGGGACTGGAGAGGCCTGTGGCAGGTTTTGAAGGGGCTGTATAGCTGTGGTTGTATCTTCAGAAAGCCCAGCAGGACATGGGGACTCTATGGAGCTGGTGCTTCAGGGAGGGAGATCTGGATTTATCCCTGACTGATACTTGCTGGTTGGTCACTTGCATTTTACAACTCCACTTGCATGGGGTCATCTTGCACCCTGAGCATCCTCTGGCCCTACCTACCCTTACAGTCACTTCCCCTTGTGCAAAGAGCAGCTCCCAGCTTCAAATTCCTCCTCTCCCAGCCACCCTGCCTGATCCACACACCCCAGCACCTCTCCTCACCCTTTCCAAACAGCAGCGTTTCCCCAAGGTCACAGCAGCCCAGGCAGGCACCCAAGTAGCACCCAAACACAGATGCTGCCCCACAGTCTCAATCCCCTGAGGTTGCCTACCACACCATGGCCTCCCTCACCTTTAGGTCCAGCGCTCAGGAAGGGCTGGTCTTGCTGCTGCTGGGAGCTCAGGACATCGTGCAGGGTTTTGGAAACTGGCCCATTTCCTCTGCTGCCCGAGCATCGTTCATAGGCTTGAAGGTGAAGCAGCTGCCTGGGGATTAAGCAGACTCTGGTAAAAGTGCCTGCTCAGCTCCTGGAGGGCGTGAGGACCACGCAGGGAGCCCGAGCATCCCAAAGAGCCGCTGCGGGGATGCAGTTACCGCACGGTACCAGGGGGCTCCGCGGCGCCCCGCCGGCCTGGGGACAGGCAGGACCGGGGAGCCGAGCGAAGCACCTCTGCAGAGCGCTGTTCCCAGAGAACCACGTCTCGCTCCTCCAGCGCATTCCCAAGGACAGCCCCGGTCGGAAGCGCCTGGCACGCACAGGCTGTGCTGGCGGGGCTGCGGGAGCTCGGAGCCCGCAGAGCAGCGCTGGGCATCCGGCTGGGATGGAGCTGATCCCGGGCAGGGAGAGCCGGGAGCAGAGGGGAGAGGACGTGTGACCTTGCTCCCCATTGCCGGGGACGCTCCTGCCGCTGCCCGGCTCCGGCTGGGAGCAAGCCATAGCTGTTTCGTTTTCAATCCAGGCTCATCTCGCCAGCCCCTGCGCTCTCCTCAAGGGGAACCAAAAGGATGCTTTATCACCTGAATTTAACTCTTTATTGGGTTTTATTTTCCCTTCTTTGAATGAGTGCCGAGCAGAGCCACGTTTGGCTCCTGGGATCAGACATCCTCCCGCATCGCCTGCAAACAAGCCAAGCTTTCCTTCAACTTTGCAAACAGAAAGGCAGAGGCAAAGCAGGTGAACCAGCAGCCCCTCTGTGTGGGGCCAGCAACGAGGCAGAGGTGTTGGACTAATGAGAGGTGCATGGGCACAGGAGCAGCTCTGCTGGGAGAGGTGTTCTAGTGCGAAGGTGCTTGATATGACATGGAGGATTGCTCCTAAGCTGAGAGGTGAGGGTAGAGGGGAGATAAGCCTGCTTGTGGGGCCAGATCTCCAAGGTGCCGGAGGAGAAGCAGAGGCACAGCAGGAGCCATGGGATTACCTGGTCACCCAGGACTGCAGAGAGGAGACAGTTACAGCAGCATCTCACCCATCTGTGAGTCTTGGGCTTGTCCTGTGCTTCCCTGCCTGCCTCTGGGTGAGCGGTGCTGTTGGCGAGGCTGCCTGGGAAACACGCCGTGCCTCAGTTTCCCCTGGGGAGCTTGCTGTCTGCACGGCAGGAGGGCAGAAAACTGGCTTGCCCCAGGCCAACACACACACATACACACACACACACACGTGTGTCCTCTCAGGAGGCTCTATCCCACAGCATCTGCTTGACATCAGTGAGCTCTGTGTGCAGGAAGGAGGCTCCGAGGAGCAGGAACCCCCCAGCTCCTCCCCATCCCCAGAGCATTCAGGACAAGGCAGCTCCCTGTGAAACAGGCACCAAAAGGCCTGGAGACCCTGCAGACTCGTGCTGCTTGCACCCAGGCTCCCTTGGCACACTGCAGCCTGCGGCAGGAGGCTCCTTGGTACCCAGCGGCATGGCTCGAGCCCCCCTGCCTGCCCCAGCAAAGCTGGGTTGGGTTTGCTCTGCACACCCCTGGGCTGTGTTCTGGAGGGGTCACTGAGTGTGGTGGCAGCTCGGTGGGTGCAGGGCCCGTTATCAATAACAGGAAGCAAACTTGTCAGGACAGGCAGGAGGGAGGGAGATGCTCAGGAGGAAAGGAAGCGGTTAGCAAGCAGTCACTTCCATTTCTGCTGCGAGACAGCCTGTGCCCACGCGGCGCTGGGCCCAGGGGAAGTGGTGCTGGCTTTCTGTAGGCTTATCTGGTCTGGGATCAGCGGTGAGTGTTTTGTGAAGAGCACACAGATCCAATCCTAGCCGGTGATAGCAGCCAGAAAGAGCACAGTAACCCAGGGGTGGTTAAAAATAGCCCGCTCTCAGCCAACGTCCGGTGCAGAAATAGGTTCAACAAGTCAAACAGATGCTGAGTTTGTCCCTCCAGGGGCTAAGTTTCTTAACCTCTCTAAAAAACAGCCCATACGTGTGATGCTGACTGTGCCATCTGGCCCCAGCACAGGATGGACCTGTGGATGCAGCTACCCGGGCCAAAGGGCTTTGCTGCTGCACGGTGCGGGCCAGAGAGGATGAGCCAGCAAGCAGCTCCTGCATGGAGGCTTGGAGGTGGGGATGAGCTGGGGTTGTCTGAAACTAGTGGTACAGGGAGAGGCTACCCAAGAGCCTGGATCCTGCAGTTCCCAGCTGCTGGCATGGCACTGCTGCTGCTGGACAGGAGGCATCTCCATGCAGATACAGCTGTACTCAGAGCAGCTCCAGTGCCTGAAGGGGCTGCAGGAAACCTGGAGAGGGGCTTGGGACAAGGGCCTGTAGGGACAGGCCAAGGGGAATGGCTTTAACCTGCCCGAGGGGAGACTGAGATGAGCTCTTAGGCAGAAGCTCTTCCCTGTGAGGGTGCTGAGGCGCTGGCACAGGGTGCCCAGAGAAGCTGTGGCTGCCCCATCCCTGGCAGTGTTCAAGGGCAGGTTGGACACAGGGGCTTGGAGCAAGCTGCTCTATGGAAGGGGTCCCTGCCCATGGCAGGGGTTGGGACTGGATGAGCTTCAAGGTCCCTCCCAACACAAACCATTCCATGATTCTATGATACCTGCATACTTACCCTGGTGGCCTCTTCCCCTTTTCTTCAGCAAACCATAGAGCTGAGCCCTGTCAGATCTCTTAATGAAAGCCAGGTTTTCTTGAGCTTCCCGTGTTGCTTTCCTCATTCTATTAAAGCATCTTAAGGCAGGAGAGCCCACAAAAAAACCTTGCTATCTCCTGCAAATGTGAATCCACTGCCGTATCCTGTTATCCCCTAGCAGCCCTTGAGCATAGCCGCCTCACCCTGAATCCCACTAAGGAAATCCTAAGCCCAGCAGGGCATGTCCTGGGCTGCCAGCATCACGGGAGACACGTTGCATGTGCAGGTGAGACCAACCCAAGCCCTTGATGCTGTAGTTGTGGTGCATCTCACCCTGTGACAGCCGGGGCAGGTCCCATCCCTCCAGCCATGGATGCGTGGAGGCAGCCAGAGGGCAGCAATGCAGAGCGGATGGGACCCGCACGGTGCCGCTCCCCCAGCGCACACGGAGCCCGTTTTAACCCAGCCCCAGGTATCAGGGATATTTCTGTCGCTCCCTGTGGCAAAGCCACGGTGCTGGAAGCCGCGGGTGCCCCAGATCTGAAGGAAAAGCTGAGAAACTGCAAGGTTTGGGTCTTTTTCTTCTGCTCTTGGGGCCACGAGGAGTCCTCAGATGCCCTGGGGCAGGGGCACCTTCACTGCCAGGCAGAGGATGGATCATGGGGCTTTCAGCACTGGAGAACAAATCAAGGCCAGGTTGGACACAGGGGCTTGGAGCAGCCTGCTCTGGTAGAAGGTGTCCCCGTGGCAGGGGTTGGAGCTGGATGAGCTTCAATATAAACCGCTCCAGGGTCCTATGGTCCCACGACACCGCAGCAGATCACATCCCACTTGGTGGGCATCACCCCTGCCAGAGTCCATCTCCAGCTCTGCCTGCCCATTCCTGCGGGTCTCTCTTCCCAGACATGGCAGTCACCTCAGCTGGGCTCGGGGGTCACTCCGGTGCTGCAGCCTGCGGGCACGTGGCAGGCAGGGGCCCTGCTGCCTGCTCCTGCAGGCAGGGAGGATGTGCTGTGTGATGGGCTGCATCCTGCAGCACTGCCCGGGTCTGAGCCCCGTGTCTGCCTCTGTTCCTGTAAGGGCCTGGTTTATGTTCCTGTCCCTGTCGGGGATGGCTGAGCATGTAAGGATCCAGGATGGACCCCGAGGAGGCCCAGATGGATCCTGTCTTCCATGAGGAGCCAGGACCGAGTCAAGCAGTGACACACAGAGTGTGTCAGCATCTTCCCTGCCTGTCTCTTCTGCATGGGTCAGGCACCGCAGGGGAAGACACAGGCTGGCTTTTGGGGCAGACTCTCTGCCAACGCTCAGCAAAGGAGGGGAAAGATGCTTTCAGCCCCGGGGGGAAGAGGGTGATGCTGTCCCCTCCTCCAGGTAAAGGTCGCAGCTGATCCCAGAGCCGGTCTTTTGTGACACCTTTCTCTGCCTGATGTCAAGCAGCAGGAACTTGCCTTCCTGGTGAGGGTCTGCCCCTGGGATCAGCCAAGTCCTCTGCCCCAGTGCTGCTGGAACTGCTTGGAAAACAGGAAACCGCTTGACCAGGCAGAAGCAGGGAAACGTTCCTTTGCTCTGCAGTGTTTGTTGGTTTAGGCTCCCCCAGGCAGGCGGCTCAAGCCAAACAGCAGTGCTGTGAATCCCTTCAAGCTTTGGGCAGTCCCTCCTGGACCCTGGGGCCAGCCCAGCCGCAGCACCCATGGGAGAAACAGGGTAACGTGGCTTCACAGCCCAGTGCTGAGCTCACTGCTAATGACAGCCCAGGAGGGATGAGGAGGCACAGCAAAACTTGATGCATCCCCGCTACCAGCTCTGCCTCCCGTCCCGCAGCAGAGCACCTCTGCCTCCCGGTGCATGGGTGCTAAACTGAGGCAGGGCACGTGTGTCCCAGCACAGGGGTGAAAAGCTTTAGCCATTGCTTTGGGTGGAGACCAGGGCTCCAAGGCTGGCATCTGGGAAGGGACGGACCCTCCTTGCCCCCAAGCCCTCAAGCCAGGGTGTTCAGCTCTGTGGACACATCACTGGGGACCCCTGGACAGGCAATGCTGAGCTCCACGTCACCCTGCAAGACCCAATGAAAGGCCCTGCTATCCCAAGCCAAGCAGCAGAGGCTGTGCCTGAAGGGACAGATGCTTCACGGGAGCAAAACTGTCAACAGGCGATGGGGGGGGGGGGGCTGATCCTGCATCCCTCTGTGACCGCATCACCCCTGCTCCGGAATTCCAGCACCCGCCTGGTGGGGCTGAGCTTGTGCCAGCAGAGCCTTTAGCAATCACTGCCCATGACACCCATACCCATGGCCATGGCCCAAGAAGCAGTTTTCATTGCGATGGGTGAATGCCATCTACGGCAGCACCCTGGGGAGCAGCCAGGCTGCAGCTGTGCCAGCCCCAAATGCACATCAGCCTGGGGAAGGGGGGGTCTTGGGGGTCCTGGAGCTGAGCTGGGAGGAGCAGAGCTGGGGGGGTCCCCATCTGCTCCTGTGAAGCAGCAGAGCTGCCTTCTCCTGAGGGCTGCACACCGCAAGCAGCAGGCGCCGCTTGTGTTGTGTTTGGCTCCGGGTGCTACGGGAGATGCCAGGGAGATGCCAAGGAGCTGCAGAAGCAGGTGCTGCAAAGGCTGCGGGGAGGGGAGCCCCCCTGGGTGCCACAGGGCCCTGGGACGGCTGCGGTGCAA